CCTTCATGTGGCAAGGAGCTCGACTTTGGCTTCAGCGGATGAGCAGGTGATCCTCCAGGCACAATCAATTTCTGAGGTGTAGGTTTAGATCTTAGGAATGGGTTGTTAAAGATGTGCTTGCCGTTTAGTTCTGTTTATGCGTCATGAAGGTGCTTGGGCAGCTACCCAGGTGTGGTTCCTGTTTTGGGGTTGATATGGGCATACCTGCATGGGTGTTTGTCACAGTTTGCGGTGCCTTTCAGGTCCTGCTTAGGAAGCACCAGCATGCTGATGTCTCCCGAGATGCAAAAGGTTAGGTCGGAGAAAGTGGGGTTGTGTAGGAGTCTGCTGAGTTTTTCAGCGCTTCAGGAAGGTGCAGAATAAGCCTACATTGCGAGGAGAGGGCGCTGGGGGGGGTGGGTCCAGCCTTACAGTCATGCACAGGCTAGGTACATGGCGATGCCATCCCATGTCAGATGTGTGAGTTTCCACATGATTGCGAATCATTGCAGACTTACTGAGCACGCCAAAAGTGACATCCGATGCTACTAGGCATGGAGTCTGCATGGATGGAATCCTGCAGCATTTAGTATATTAGGGGTATATTGGGGTTATATTGGGTTTATTTTGGGGTTATATTGGGTTTATATTGGGTTTATATAGGGATAATGGAAAAGAAAATGGAAACTACGTGTATTGGGAATCTGAAGGTCTAAGTTGTGCAGGGTTTCCACCATCCCTTGTGACATATGTTTGCATCAGCTCAGCCTTGACAGGCACCATGGTATTTCGATTGTTCCAACCATCCGGCCTGCAACCCAGAATGTTTTAGATTAGTATTATTACTATTACCCTTATTTTTCTGATTACTGTTATTATTATTATTACTATTATTAAAAATTCTTATTACTGTTATCACTATTATTAGAATATTATTATTACTATGGTTACTATTAGCCCCGCAAATGGTGTGTCCGCACGCGTGTGCATTGCAGCAGGTTTTAGCGCTTAACCACTTCGCAAGGCTGTTTTGTTCAATGTGAGCCCAGTATGTGGTAGTTTTACAGGAACAGGGGGGCCCCATATATCCCTCCCTATAATATCCTGATATAACCCCTATAACACTGATGAAAGGTGCCCCTAATTTCGGGAAACCGCAATGTGTCGCTGCCAAGGAGTGGAGCCGATTCCGCGAGCGCTTCGCGGAATTCCGGAAGCTCTACTATGCAGCCGATCGCGATGAACAAGAGATTTTCCAGCGAATGCAGCAGGCATAAATGTCCCAAAGGGAGTGTACGCAAATCATTGTTCCAGTGGTCCCTTTGGTGGTCCCAATCCTTGCACATTTGGACGGCTTTTGCGTGGCATGTTGCCATGCAGTCATCTTGGTGTGGAGGGTTGCACGCTGTTATCCTGATTGTTGTATTAATAGCATGTTTCTTTATCTCATTATTTCGTTTGGAAATTGGATCGTATTTCAGCCAAATTCATATTGTTGTGTTGCGGCATTTCATTAGCATTGCCATGCGGTGTATTTCGCAAACAGCTTTATGAGTGCTATGAACGTACATTCACGTGCACTGCTAAGTGCGATCCACCAAGCCCGTACCTTACGTATAAGACTACAAACCTAAATTTCAGCTTAATCTTCTATCACTGATTTTCGGCCCCTATGCTCAAAAGCCTAAACCCTAAAAGTGGATGTTCAGAGTGTGGTGCCTTTAACCAAGGCTCCCGCAGCCAATGACTTGCAGTTCAAAAGGTGCGCACGGGTGGTATAACGAAAAAACCCTACATACTGCTGCAGGTTCTCAGTGAGGCCAATGACTTGGGCCGTCGCTACGAACCTACTTTCGTGCTGCCCTTGGGCAATCTAGGGGCCTAGAGTTTTAGGAGGTTCCGCTAGGGTGTAGGAATAGCCCAAGTGGAATAGAAGCATGAAATGTCAACTGGGGCTATATGGAGCTTTGAAGAGATAGCTACCCATATCATGGTCCTGGATTCCTCGATTCCTCGTATGCTTATGGTGTAGGGTACTTCAAATCGATCTCAAAGTTATTTTGTTGTTGCTCAGGCCCCGACGATAGGCTGGGCAGGTGTGCTTTGTTGTGTGCTTTCCTACGGTTTCCTAATCTCTGCCTGGGTCATATCATTCTTTGATCGGGGCCCGTCCTTCAAGGGGGGCGCGGTAGCTCTTTAATCCCTAGGGAACCCCAGCCTCCGTTTCTTCTTCCATCTTTTGCCACTTGATTCTCTATTGTACCAAAATTTATCCCTGCTATCTAGTCCAATCCCAAGTCATCATGCCCATGTTGCATGTTTTTTCTGCTTGGCAGAGCCAGTGGCAGCCAAAGGTCAAGTATGCCAGTGAATGGTCCGTCTTTCACCTCTGTAATCCGGAACGCCTTCACGAAGTTCCTGAGGACTCTGCCACATGAAAAGTTGCATGTCTTCGGTTGGTTTGTCAGCTAAATGGTAGTGTTCGGGATTAAGTTATTACCTACCAACATTATGTTGTATGCTTATAGTATAGCGGACCTGACAACAGACCGCAAAACAGAATTGGTATTTACTGGGACCCCTATAGTAAGTAGCTTGAAAGTGCAACTGGCAGTGCTACTCTGGTCGTTCTGGTTGTTGCTGACAGTGACTTTGACAGGTATTCTCATCAGCATGCTCAGGCTACTCGGAATAGTCCATATCATTTTCCATCTTCTTTTCCATGTGATTCTCAGTTTTCGAGGTAACATCTCTAACCCCCTTATATCCCTAAATAGTAGTTTCCATTTACTTTCCACTTTGGTGCCCGACTTTTTGAAGCAACCCTACGACTCCCTTCATCTCATAGTGTGCACTCCACCTGTGTCGCAGGGCATGGTGCCTGATGCAGTGTCCATGTGCAGGGTGGTCTTCAGTGCCAGAGTGCGAGATTTTGGGAGAATGTGCTTACATGCGAAAGATATTCACACATACCGCGGCCCCAAAATAGCCAAATAGAAGCACGAAATCCAGAACAACAGCCCGAAAGGGCATTATTCTGCGTACTGTTGGGGTTGAGGTATTCACGGAAACTCCTTAAAGGGGCGAACTACTATAGGGGTTATTGAGGGGGATACCAGGTGTTTAGGCTATGGTGCACAACAGATCTGGCACCCAGATCCCTGCGAAGGAAATTTCTGTACTTCTGGTGAGGGAAGACTTATTGGGTATGTTGCCTTGACAGGGGGTCTTATGCCTTTACGCGGTTCTGGCGTGATAGGCGGCACCGATTTCAGTTTGAGATGCCGCTTTACATGGTGAAAGGAAGTAATGAAGATCAAAGACTTTAAGTTTGTACCCTTAATGTTTGTAACCCTAGGTTTTGGGTCCCCAATACCCTTATTAAGGGCCATATTCCATGGTTTAGGGTCCCCAAACCCAAGGGTCCAAACCCTAAGGGTGCAAAGGAAAACTCCCTGAGAAGAAGTGGGACAAAATTCTGCAAAGGATCCCGGTATGACCTTCGGCTTTTCATGAGTTAGGCTGCCACCATGAACATTGTTCACATGATACGTGGACCTGCCACCCTGTAATAGTGACGGTAAGGAGCGATAAGGATTATACTAGGATCCTATTCTTTTCTTGTTATACCACTTCTGCAGGGTGGGGTCCTCCTCAATGATACCAAATAGTAGTTTCCATTCTATTTTCCAGTATCCCTATGCAACCTCCATGTTATACCACTTTTGCAGGGTGGGGGGTCCTCCTGATTCATATGTTTCGTCTAAGATGCACAGAGCAAGTCCGCAGGATCTCCAGTTGAATTTTTGCTTCTACGGGTTCGCGACCGTTCAGTGGCAGCTCGGCAAAAGGATCCTGTGGTTACTGCAGATAGTAGTGTTTAGGGTTTCGAGTTTAGGGTTTAGTGTTTAGGGGGTAGGGTTTAGGTTTAGGGGAGGGCACTGGCGCCAGTATTTGATGTGTCTGGTCTCTTCCAGCATACCAAGCTCCATGGATGTTTCCATGAAAAGGAGGTGAATCCTTATTTGTTGGGGCTCTGCAAGAGGCGCCCTCCCATTTATTGGAAAGCCTAAATCTTCTTAAATGACCCTGTGCGCGCTACAAATCTTTCAGAGGGACCCTTGCATCGTCACGTCAGCCAAGGCTAGGGTTATTTGGCCACCAGCACTTCGGCAATGTGCCTGGCATGGCAGAGTGGGCGCGCAACGCTTGGGGTACCTTGGTTCGCGCATGCTTTCAATTGCTAGACTGTGAGAGAACTTTCTGGGAAAAAACGCAAATAGATTTTCCCCAAACTGGGGATCCCCCTATGTGCCCCAACATAATTATAATACTTGTTATGGGAAGCTCCAACAAGTAGGGACCTCTCCCTTCATGAGCAGAGGCTTCCTGAATGATGCGTCAAAGTTTAACGCTATGCACTTCTTGGAGCCTTGGCTGCCTGTACTTGGAGGCCCATGGGACTTAGTAACTACTTTTAACTAGGCTTATAACCCTACTTCTAATCCCCCTAAATGGGCTTATAGGGGTTACCCCAGTTATAAGTAGGGTTATAATCCCAGTTCTAGGTAGTTACTAAGTCCCATGGGCCTCCAAATAGTGCACGCAGAATTGTCAGCCAGCATCTGGCCAGCCGAACTCTAAGCTGTGTGGTTGGCCTGAAGATGACCCCTATATACTCGCTAGGGAGACAGGGAGACTCTAGAATCTCCTTCTGATCCTCACATATTCCTGGGGCTCCTGATCTATTTTGAGAAGCCTAAGGAAAGCTCTGGATGGCATGTGAAGATGGTGGAGATGGCAAAAGCCCTCAGCAACATGTTTGTGGGCAGCAGTGGGTACAGGCACGGTTGCAGGAGTTCAGGGGATATTCAGTTTGGGGTTTGCCACCAGTACCAATACCATTACCGCTGCCGCTACCATACAGTACTGTTGCCACGTCCGCGGCACGACTTCGCCCACCGCAACGCCGACCACCACGACCACAACGTCGACGGCGACCACAAAGAGAAACAACTGCCATGACGACCACGACGACCACTGGCGCCGCTGACACTGCCACCCCCATATGGCCACCCCCACCGCCAAGGACACCGCACTTCCACTGGCAGGCCACTACTCGACCTCCACTACCGCTAGCACTGCAGCGTAGCAGGACCAGTATCTTCATGATGGCTGCTGCAATTAGTGCTCTGCTCTGCTTCAGGGTCTCCCGCGACGCTGCGCTGCCCGCGGCATTGCGGATTCCAGACCTGGTGGTCCGCAGGAGCTTTAAAGTAGTCTTTACTCCTTGGGATGAAGGGAGTCTTGCACCATCTTGAGCACCCTAGAGCGCAGCAACTACAGTATAATGGGGTTCCGGAGTGGTGTAAAATTTTCTGAATCCAAGGTAGGTTTGGCAGAAGACTCCCTTCATGTAAAGGAGTGTTTACGGCTTTAGGTTTGTTGGGGTTCAACTTGGGGTTATCAAAGCCTACCGGAAGGGCTCAGGCTTTTTGGTTGGGGCTTAGAGTCAGGGCTCAGTAGCTTTGGAATTATGACGTCAATGCACTTGATATTCACGTGAGGAATCACTTGTCGCCACGGCAGTCTCAACAACGCTATGCCTGAATCGTAAACCCTTACCTACAAAACTCGACACCCCCCCCCCAACTAACCTTTACCTACAAAATCTTACAAACTCGCCCCCCGACAAACCCTAAACCCTAAACCCTAAACCCATCACCTACAAAATCCTACAAACTTCGCCCCCCAACCCCTAACCTTCAGCCCAAGGCCACGCCAAAACCCCTGCATCCCTGGAAAGGACTCCGGTTCACACCCGGCTCCTTGGATGCAAAGGGGATGCGGGAAGTTTCCCAAAACTCAGTGCAGACTTGGGGGGTTCCTAAAATTAGGGGTACCATTTTGGGGGTCCCAATAATCAGGATTATAGTATTTTGGGGTCTATATTGGGGTCCCCTTATTTAGGGAAACTACCACTTCCCGCTGATGATTACTGCTGTACTTATTGCTGTTTACCATTACTATTACTATTTCTATTACTATTAGTATTATTATTACTATTATTATTACTATTACTATTATTATTACTATTACTATTCCTAGTATTCTCATTATTATTATGTTGTCATACAATTAGTATGTGAAGGTCATTGCGAGAGATTAGGCTTGTGTAAGGATCAGCGATGCTGCGGGAATCATGTGGGGGACGTAATGGAAGTTTCGAGCTGTACTGTTTCTCCAAATTCGACGTGTCTCAGAGTTTATCTATCCCAGTTTTGGGAATTACTCTTGTGCCGATCAGCGCTGAATCTGATTTCAAAGCTGTATGGTGAGGTTTCCAGATGTCCGTCGCTTGAAGGCTGTTGCCATCTCGCAACCTGGAATGCAAAATAGTAATGACAATAACAAGAGTCATAAGAATACCAACAATATCAATATTCCCAATCGCAACAGTATTGTAACAATAGTAAGAAGATTATTAACAAACGTCTTTCCTGAAATTGCAGAAGGGACTGGTTGTTGGCAACCCTGCATAGTATGTTCCAATTGGTTTCCATTACCCGTATAAAGCCACACATTGAGCCCTGTATATCCACCGTATTCAGAACGAGGTTCATCTTGGATTGTTGTGGACGTTTTGCAACTTCTGCAGCTTTGCATGTGAGATCCGTTGGACAGGGCAGATGGATGAAATCTTCTGTTGTCTTTGCCCTAACCTGCGGGTGGTTCGGCGAGGTATCACACAGCGTTGCTGCGCGAGCCCCTGTCGTTCTGGTATCTCGGTGGCAACTTGCGAAGCGCAGGGAATCTGGTTGGCATGAGTGTCATATGCAAGGTTTTGCGTACATGCGACGCTCTACTATCATTACTATGATTTTGTGATACTTTATTTTTATTCGCATTATCATTATTATTATTGTTATTACTATCAGGCAGCACATGCTCAGTCATCTCTTTGAAGTGGATGCCACCTTGCACATACTCGATGCGACCGCCAGAACGTCAGAGGACTGGCAGAAGCCATTTTCAGTACTAAATGTGATAAGGATAATAGTAATAGTAGTAGTAATAGTAATAGTAATAGTAATAGTAATAGTAATAGTAGTAGTAATAGTAATAATGATAGGAAGTCTGCTGCTTTCCTGGAAGTTGAAGTTTGGACCTGGGTTCCAGAGAAGAATGCTGAAGCATCAAGGGACAGTAGTAATCATGAACCCTAAACCCTAAACCCTAAACCCTTAACCCTAAACCCTAAACCCGAAACCCTAAACCCCATATAGTAATCATGACAAAGCTGGTGACTGGGGATGCAACAGGCCACAGCAGTCCAACTAGTCAGACAAATAACACTTGAGTAGTATTTTATTTGGGGATTCTATGGTACTCAATATAGAGTAAGATATATCCTCCTTTTGGGTATAGTATCTTGCATAAGGAATACAATCTTACTAGGTTCAACCATCAAAAAAACACTACTCACTTTTCGTAAAATCGCTAGCAGTGCAAGCAGAGAGCTCACAGGATGTGGCGCGGTTGCACACGCATTGCCGCTTCATTGACACGCCCTCAGCCATGAACAGCAGTCATGTGTACGGTTAGTACGAACTCGACACGCTACAGCCCAACCCCCGAAGCAGAAGTTGTCAAGATTTGAAAGCGGAAAGGGTGTATGTAACCCTAGGTGCATCAGTTTCCATCTTAACCACCATGTAACCCCAGTTTCCATTTTAATTTCCAATGTGTTTTCCATCTGATTCACCATTATTGGGGGCTGTCTATGTGTCATGTGAACTTGACCGACTTTTTAGGAATGTGCCAGCCGGTATGTTCCGGCTGCCTTGTTGCCATCTTAAACACGAAGAATTGAATACAAGAAGTTCCACACAGCCTCGTTACACCCAACTATCCTTGGTCTTACTATTACACTCCTTTTATTCCGCCATATGAGCTATAGTCTAAACTCCTTAAGAGGGGGTTATATAGGGGATTATGTGGGGGACTATTATAGGGTTTTTAAGGGGGATACTAGGAGTTTAGACTATAGCTCATATAGCCATTTTCCTAAGTACTACACCCAGCAGGCCCGGCGTGGGTAGTTGTCGTTGTTCCTTTGAATCACTTAGGGCGGAAACTGGTGTGGTACAGATGAACGACTGCTGGAGCTGAACGAGCTCTTTGAGGACCTTTCTTCTTGCTTCCGCGTCTCATTCCCACTGCTTGGGAAGATCGTAAACCCTAAACCCCAAACCCTAAACCCTAAACTCTAAAAACTCTCAACCCTAAACCGGGTTTTCTAGGAAATCACCCCTGGAACCGTGCTTTGGACCCAACACCAAACTGATGGAGTCTGGTCATTTAGAAATCCCATTCAGGGTTGAGGGTTTTTAGGGTTTAGGGTTTAGGGTTTAGGGATTGAAGACCTAGATTCATGGAAGCCCCCATAAACCCTATATTACCCCTATTATACATACCCTATATAATATAGTAGTGTCCATTTTCTTTTCCATCATCCCCTACATAACCCCAATACACCCTACACCCTATATAACCCCTATACTGTAGTTTCCATTTTCTTTTCCATTATCCCTTATATAACCCCTATAATCCCTGTAGTTTCCATTTTCTTTTACATGATCCCCTATGTGTAACCCCTCCTACAAGCCCGCTTGCCTACGAGCTCAGATTGTAAGCTTTAGCTTTCCAGGAGGTCGTGTTGGACTGTCACACCGGAGATCACAAGGCCCCATGGGGGTAATGTAAGGGTTATATGGGGATAATGGAAAATAAGATGGAAACTACTACATTATGTATGGGTTATATAGGGGTTAAGGGGTTTACTAGTTGCTGGAACTTCAGGAAGTTCTCTGTCACTGTAGGGGATCCTTATCATCGTCATGGTAAGTGATGATTCCTATTGTCTAAGGGTACAAAGCCTGAACCTCACTGTCCGAAGCGCGCTCCTTGGGTCTCTGAGTGAAGGCGCGGCACCACTTCCTGAGATCTGCGACGCAGAAGCAACTGGCAAGCTGCGTTGATTGTTGCGCAGGTTGTATTAGACTATTTGAGCGAGAAAGTCCGGCATTGCTCCTCATATCCCTGTCCCTTTGGGCTTTTAGATCTGAGCTGTTTGCATGGGCGGAAGTTAGAGGGAAACGAGGCTGGTAAAAGCGCTCAGCATGGAACCGAGCAAGTGCTTCCGATCATCGTTCTCTAAGGCACGCGAGTATCACGACCGATTTGTGCGGCTAATGGGCAATGATCCCCAGCTGCTTTCTGCTGATGCTTGGTCATGAATTTGGAGTTTCTCAAAATACTGCTGCAGGAGGACCCTGTAGTCCCTGTGCAGTCGCCGTATATGCCCCGGCAGATGTGTTTTTAAGGAACCCCTCTTGGAACATAAGCCCTATACTACCCCTATATATACACCCTATAATACTATAGAAGTGCCCATTTTCTTTTCCATTATCCCCTATGTGACTCCAATATACCCTAAACCCTAAACAATATATAACCCCTTTCCAGTAGTTTCCATTTTCTTTTCCATCCTCCCCTATATGACCCCTATATAACTCTGCTCTTATATAACCACTATAATCACTGTAGTTTTCATTTTCCTTGCCATTACTCAAATATATTGAACATAGGGTTTCTTTGCCACAAGGGGCTTGAAGGTTCCTAGCGCACATCGGTCGAAGTAACTAGGGAAATGGACAAGAAAATGCAAACTACTTTAATGGGTTTATGGTTTAGAGTTTGATGTTTAGGGTTGTGGTTATATAGGGCCAATGGAAAAGAAGATGGAAACTACTATAGTACATTGGGGATGTTCTGGGATAATGGAAGAGAAAATGGAAACTAGTATAGTATATGGGTGTTGTATAGGGATAATGGAAGAGAACATGGTAACTACTATTTAGGGTTTAGGGTTTCTACAATACCACGTACTGTGTCTTTGACTTTTCTTTGCAAGCTCATGCGGATTGTGGTTGCCAACTTCTATGTTGGAGCAGCAAAGGCCAGCAAAAAGTTTGATCACATCATTCAAAGCAATATTAACCATGATAATGGCAATTCTCATGGCCTGCAAATACTGGGTTGCTGTTAAGGAACTTAAATTAAGTTACTATATTGGGGGAACCCTACTATTTACTATATATACCCATTATGGTAACTTAATTTAACTTCCTTAACAGCAACCCAGAATACCTTCAAATCAAGGATCTCTTCATGTGCGGGGAGCCGGTTCTTTTCTGCCGGCTCTTGTCGCATTTTGGCCGACCTGCGACGGCCTCAGCCGACCAAAGCTCTCTGTGGTACGCGGTTTAGGGTTTAGGGTTTATAGGAATGCTGGCCCCCTGAAATTAGCTATAGTCTAAACTCCTTCAAGGGGTTTATATAGGAGATGACTGTAGGGGTTAGTAAGGGGGCTGCTTGGAATTTAGACTCGGGCTCAAATGATTTGGGACGCCTTCTTCATTTCTGAGGACACTTCTGGTTCTTACAAGTGGTATTGATGTTTTTCACATTGGGCATTTAATGTTTGTCTGCCCGTGGTTTCTGACCCTCCTGCTCAGATGATTTTCGACGAGGATCAGAAGAGTTCTTGCAGATAGATATGGGGGTTTCCCAAAAGAAGGGGTACCTTTTTGGGGGCAATAAGGATGAAAGTATTTTGGGGTTTATATCGGGTCCTCTTATTTTTGGGAAACTACCATATTTCAGAGGGGTGCCCTAAACCCTAAAGCCTAAACCCCAAACCCTAAACCCTAAACCCCAAACCCTAAACCCAAAACCCATGGGGCAGGTTTCAGTTTGCCTGAACCAAGGTGATTGGATACATTTCAACGCCCATCTCTGTGTACGTGCGCTTCTTAGAGCCTGAGAGTCTCTCTGAGGAAGCATGGGGGGCTGCCAAACCCCTAAACCCTAAACCCTAGACCCTAAACCTTCAGGGAATCCTGGAAGATGGCGTGCCCATGGGTGGAAACTGTTGGGTGGTTTGGATTCTTTTTCAAAGCATCCTTCCACAGACAAACAAAGATCGTCGCCAAGAGAACCTGTAATTTTCATGTGCGGGTTGCTCACCAAAGGCGGCCTCAAGGGACTGTAGGTATCTATGAGAGTTGCCAGGGGATACTGTTGATGGATGAAATCTTGCACTACCTAGGGGTCTTAGGACTTTAGGAAGTGCAAGATTTCCTCCATCAATAGTATGGGTGCCTCACATCGAACAAATACATCGAAAAGACGCTGAAAAGCTGCTCACATTTTGGGGTGCGTAAGATGGTGTAGGTCTTTCTCCATCCACGCTGCATAACCCGAGGTTCGGGCCGAAGATCGGTCTGAGTGGTACCAGCAGTTCTATGCCACTCTGCCTTGAAGTGGCCAGGCCTCTGATATCACCTTAAAATATCATCATATTCCATTCTACCGACCCCCGAAAGTTTCCAAGATTTTGAGAAACCCTTCAAACCTTCAGATAACCTTGTGGTTGTCCTGCAAGAAGGTTGAGAGCGATGGCATGCCTAAAGGTTGCCTTTCGTGTTAAGTGCAGAATGAAAGGTGATTGAGGGTATGACAGGGGCGAGCAGTTCTTAGAGGTGCGGAGAGTCGTTCCGTGTGGCCTTATGCTAGCATTTGGAATGCAAGTTCTTGTCTGCAGAGATATGTTCTGCAAAGGAAATGGCCTTGGACGAGCGGCATATCTTTGCTGCCACCACGCCGCTTTTTGCCGAGTGGGTTGCGCCCTTTGGCTATGTCATGGAAGTTAGGAAGTTGCAACGAAATGGTGTCTGCTTTGCAAGTGCATCAGCAAATCAGTGCATTTGCTGCTCCAGCGGTCATGATGCAAGGTATGGCACTGGCATATCGTTGCCGGTCATTCGACCCATGTGTACATATACCGAGGCGGGCACAGCGTCTTTGAATATTGAAGCTGAAGATTAACACATGCATTGTTGAAGATTGCGGGCATGCTTTGGGTTCCTGGCTTTCACCAATGGCTGTGAATGATTTTGGTATGACACACGTTCGCAAGTCATCTTACAGACATGGCAGCAACACACCTTGGCGGCCTTCGGGCAGCGCTATACCACACAATCCCGAGTGCAATTCCATCGGCTTCACATTATAAATTTCCTGAGCAGCCAGCGCATCTAGCACCTTTTAAGAGCTGCTATCTACTACAAAGTAACCTGACACAAACGCACTAGCATCTTTGCACTTGAGCAAATTGTTTCGACTGTCCTGGAAGGCAACATACTGGCCAAAGAGAGCGCAGGCAGGCCTTGCTTCCTGACTGTGTAGACACTCTTCACCCAGACCCCCTACCCCATTAGGGTGCAGGGTTTAGGGTTCATTACTACATTGGGGAAACTAGGGGATTATTAGGGGGTTTCATTTTTTGGATCCTTTAGGGGGTCTGGGAATTTGCCGTGTCCGAGAAGACGGCACAGCCGAAGTTGGATTTTGTTAACATGAACCCTTATATGAGCCATTGCCTAAATTCCTAGTATCCCCCTTAATAACCCCTATAGTAGTCCCCTATATAATCCCTTATAACCCCGCCTTAAGGAGTTTTGACTATAGCTCATATAATGCCAACCCGAACCATCAGAAAATCATCGTTGATTTCAGAGTGTGCGAGGGTGCCCTGATTTAGGGGTTTAGGGTTTAGGGTTTAGGCCCTTAAGCCCGAAACACAGGAGGTGCTGCTCCTGCGAACAATTAGCTTGTTCTGGGACACAGAGCCTCGGTCGCAGAAATCCCCAAAACCCTAAACCATATTAGCCACAGCAGTTCAACACATGGGGGCGACTGAAGACTATGGATTTGTGGGGTGTCTATACGGAATTTCCCAAAATTAGGGGTTCTGTTTTGGGGGTCCCTATAGTGAAGATCATATAGCACTTGGGGGTCTATTTTCGGCCCCCGTATACGTGGAAACTGTCGTATCACACCTGCTACATTAGTTGGGGGCGCGGGGTCCGCAACTTGAAAGGATGCCCATGCTTGGCTTTCTGATGTGAGAGTTTCACAAAACCCTAACCCTAAACCCACCAAATATGTCCCCAGAATCCCCCCATGGCTCCCTCTTTTGCAAATCCCCCCAAGTCTGGTTGAAGGAGTGTGTCCTGAACTATTTCGCTCGTGCCTATGCAGGCAATGCTACTTTCCTGGCAGCAACATGGTAGTTTCCCAAAATAGGGGGGACCCCAAGATAGACCCTAATACATTGTAATTCTTATTGTTGGGACCCCCAAAAAGTGTAATGACCCCTAATTCTGGCAAACCTCCAGATAACAGGCGTCATGTATGTAGAGGTTCCTTAAAGCAGCCCAGACAACCTCTTTTTGTCACTAGCTTGGTCATCTTTCTTTCATTTTGGTTGCTGGATCCTTCAAGTGTGGCAAATACACCCCAAAAGAGTGCGCATTCTTTGCGAGGAGTTGGTTTTCAGCTGTTTGGCCCTAATCCTTCGCTCAAAACTGTTAGGGTCTTCAGATGCTGCCCATGTAGTGACAGTGCAAGGATTAATCTGGCAGGAGGCAGCAAGCCAAGCGTCATAACTTCTGACAAGAGGGTTTAGGCTTAGCCTTCTTTGCTTGCCACGTCTTGTGCTCCTTCTCACGTTTTTCTGGGTTTTCGGAACCCTTATACTCCACCCAGATCCGGTCGCCTTAAGCGCTAAACCCCAAAACCCAAAGCCCAAACCCTGAACCCTTATCCCCCCAAAGTCCCCAAAATGATCGCTAGAACCCAACACCCCAAACCCTAAAGGGCTACTTCTCAAAATGCTCCCAACAGAATCCCGGATAGGACCTATCATCCCCTTAAAACCTATTTATTCCCTGGGTCCTTGGAGGACATCCATCTTGAGAAGCTCCCAGATATCCAATTGCTCCCCCAAAATCCTCTGATCCCTTGGTCACCCCCCAAAGCCGCAACAGGGGTTCAGGGTTTGGGCTTTGGGTTTAGGGTTTGCGAAAATTGAAGGTCAATTCTTTAGGGGTTCCCAGAGCAAGGATTGTAGAATTTTGGTGGGGTTTATATTGGATTCTCCTCTTCATGGAAACCACATACCCCCCATAACCCTCAAACCCTAAACAGCTGAACATCCCCTCATTCCCCTTCAGACTCATCAGCATCTCCAACGCTAAGCTTCCGAGAGTCCGCCAGCCTTTCCGAGCTGCCTTGGCTGCAAAGATCTCAAGGGTTTAGGGTTTAGGGTTTAGGGAACTGGGTCAGGTTTGAAGCATAGCAAGTATTTTCTATTGCCCTTAATCCCTATGTAATCCCTACACCTATCTTGGGGAAGACAGAAGGATTGTGGGTTTTAGGATTTGGGGTGTAGGACCCTAGGGCTGTAAAGTTTTCGGACTCCAGGACGTTGGGTCCAGGGTCGATTAGGATGTAGGGTCAAATGTTTGGGGCTAGGGTGCTGCAAGTGGGTCCGTGCCCTAGCAAGGGCTTAGGACTGTAGGCTGTATGGTCAGGATCCGTGGGTGTTTTGATGGAGAACTCCCCTGCTATGCCCTACAAAAAATTGTGCGATCTATATCTGAACTTGGGAGACACCAACCGGGCAGGATTGTACAAGTTCCACATCGGGACCATGCTCTCTGCTCTTGGCAAAGGGCAAGGGCTACAGGGGGTGAGACACAACGACAGAACCAGGGGTAAAAGTCGTCAGGGTGAAGTCATGGTGGGTGTTCGAAACAATGCTAATAAGATGGACTATGCAAATTTGAAGGTGTGTTCTGCCAGAAGGAACTTTTGTTCTAGGCTAGAGTATACATACAGTAGGAGCTAACACATAGCTTTATCAAGTCTTTCTGTTGGCATTGCCTCTCGGAGCAAGCGCTGACAACAGGAGCTCTCAATCATTGCCCCCTGCCTCTTTCCCTGGGATCATCCGCAGCAGTCAAGCTGAGGGAGGCGGAGTGATTGCTGGGCATCTCTTCCCAGACCACCTAACGGATCCAAAAAATGGAACCCCCTAATAATCCCCTAGTTTCCCCAAAGTGTAGTAATGGGCTCATATTAAGAGGGGGTTTCCCTTTTCTGGATCCTTTAGGGGGTCTGGGTTAAGATAAATATGCCCCTTATAGAACCCTATATACCCCTTATAGAACCCTATAAACCCTTATAGAACCCTATATACCCCTTATAGAACCCTATATGATTTCCGCAAGGAAGGAGCGGATGGGCTACAGCGCCTTCTCGGAGTTTTTGGCTGCCGCTTCGTCACAAGTATTATCTACTTCTTGATTCACAGCAGTAGTGTTGTATTTGGGGATACTATGGTACCCAAGGTGCAGAGAGCATAATCTTACTAGGTTCAACCATCTACACCGAACCCTAAACCCAATAATCTTACTAGGTTCTACCACCCCAAAAAAGCACTACTCACATACGAGTTCTGCCTGCCATGAGATTTGCAAGGTATAATGGGATTCTATAGGGGATTATATAGGGATGATGTAGGGGTGATATACGGGTCTTCTGGGTTATATAGGCATTAGATGGGTATAGTGTGGTCAGAACGCCATCTGTAGGTTGCACGTAGGTCTTCCATCGCTGACGCGTCAGTCACATTCTGCGACCGTCCAATTCTCGCCTTGTCTAAAACTTCCTGGCTCTCAGTAGGGAATAAGGGAATATAGGGTTTAGGGTTTAGGGTTTAGGCCCTATACATCCCCCTATTCCCTACTGATCCCCATTAAGAAAAACTTGTGCCAAGGCCGTGATATATCCATACAGCCCAAGCCAGTTCTGGTTCTATGAGCCCCGTCCTGAGCTTGTTGCGCAAAGGCTGCAGGGCAGTGTATTCTGGGTTGGTTTTGGGGAATTTCATTGAAGCTACCATATTATGGCAATAAAGTAAAATAGTCGGGCTTCCTTAGTCTAGTAATTTAATTTAATTTCCGTAACATCAAGCCAGTTTTTGAGTGCCTGGTTGTGTGCCAACCCTGTCAGGTTGTATGCCATGGGTGTTCCGATCTACATGCCCTCGCGCGACACGCTGCCTCTCTACGTGAGTCAGGAGCGCTGTGCAGAAAGCCTGCCTTGCAAAGGCTTATACTGTGGATGGGGTTTAGGGTTTAGGGGTTTAGGGGTTTAGGGTTTATGGCTTATAGGGTTGTTGTCAGAAAACATGTGTAGGCATTGTCGGTGTTTTAAGGATTTCTGAGTCCGAGTTGACCGTCTATTGTTGCCCCATGAACGAAATATTATGCAGCTTCGAATCAGGATGCGTGTAAAGAAGCAACGGAGTACCATTGTTACTATTACATGATTATTCGTATTCTTACCGATCTTAGTACTGCTACTATTTCTACGCATGTTCTGATTATCACTATTAGTTTTACTAAGATGGTGCAGCTTCGAGTCAGGACTACTCTATCTGTCCGGACTTTGAAGGCAGCCGTCCCGGGCACGCCCCAGATCGGGTACATCCGCATTCACCCTTTGCAGCTAGGACAGGATCATTGGACAGTAGCATGACAGTCGCTGAGCATTTTGTGTTCCATGCACGAGTGACCAGCAAGTCCCTAACCAAGGACACAGATGACTGGGCTGCGATGACGCAGCCCAAATGCACTCCAAGCTAGGCCGAACTCCGTCTTCGTTCCCCTTCGTTTGCGTGATCCAGGTATTGGGCAGCTTTCACTGACTACCTGACTCTGCCGCACATCTCTCATTTCGACTCCGTGCCAAGCTTGCTCAGGCTTCATTCATGCTGACTAGGGGTTGGAAGCAAGATTTAGATTTGAGCGTAGGGGTCCAGCGAAATCTGATAGATGTAGTCATATGCACAAGCCGTCAAAAACCGTCGCGTACACAGGAGAGAGGATGTTGTCACAGCCCATGCTCAGAGTCAGCAGCTCATACCGGTTTTGAGTTCCCTTCCCGACACGCAAAAGGCCAAAAAGCTGTCTAGTAAGCCTTTCCTGCAAATTTATGCGATGGCTTTCTCGAGCAATAGGCTTAGCGCATAAGAGCTCCCAGTGTAGTGCCTACCTGCCTTGCAGGCAGCTGCATGCCGCCGATCATCAAAAGATTAGTCACTCCATGCAACGGGCGCATGCCATAGCCTTAGCTTCAGGATGACAGCGCTTGTCCATTTAGGGTTTTGGGGTTTAGGGTTTAAAGTTTAGGGTTACCCAGGAATAACGACAATGGTAACTGTTTGCTTATCATGGTAGCTGCTGGTGCCAGCATTAGCTTCAACCCGCAACCCTATGTAGCTTCTCTAATTAAAACCCTGTGGGCCTAAACACCCAAATGCCCCGAAACTCTTAAGGTCCCCATGCTGCATTCTCCGTGCAAAGGCCTACATACCTCCAGCTTCCAATTGTTCATGTGTTTTTCTTTCCAGTTGCTTGCACAATATTGGTACAGCCCCCAAATTCAGATGGGTGGTATTTTAGTCGGGGGCCAATATAGAGTAAGATCATATCCTCCTTTGGAGTATAGTACTTTATATGAAGAATATAATCTTACTGGGTTCAACCCCTTGAATCCTAAACCGCAAACCCTGTAATCTTACTGGGCTCAACCACCAAAACCCTAAACCCCAAGTCCTATAGTCCTGCTAGCTTCAACCGCCCAAAAAAACACTAGGGTGGTTGTCAAAATTATGGTTCCTTTTTGGATCCCTATTATCATACGGCACCTAACATTTAGGGTACCCCAAAAAGGGATCACAATTTTGACAACCACCCACACAACCCTATATTTAACCCCTACATTACCCCCATTTTCTTGTCCATTATCCCCTATATAACCCCAATATAACCCCAGTATAACCCCAATATAATCACTGTAGTTTCCGTTTTCTTTTCCATTGTCCCTATATAACCCCAATATAACCCCAATATATATATATATTTACCTGCCTAAGCAAAGCTAAGCCCCTAATTTTGACAACCACCCACTAGTCAGATGGAGCACTTGGGTGTGGCGATGAGCTTCTGGAGCCAGGCCGGCGTAGAAGTCGCCTTAGTCACTACTGGGGTTTGGGGGTTTAGGGTTTAGGGTTTAGGCTTAGGGATTCAGATTACTGGTGCTTAAGGGCGAGTTTGGGGGCACATGGAAGCTACGACAGGGTTTTGGGGTGTAGAGTTTGGGGTTGGGGGACAGAGTTTAGGCTATAGATACGTAGAGTTTTTTGATAAAGTGGAGTTCTTGGGGAATCCAGGGTATCCGGGGACCCACAGGAAATTGAAGGGTTCTCCGTGGGGATTGCATGGGGATTGTTTTAGAAACTTCCAAAATTGAGGGTGTCCAAATTTCCTAAGCCCTAAACCCTGAACCCAAAGCCCTAAATCCCTTACGAAGTGCCGTAGGTTGACCCTGCTTGAGGCTCATGGGACTCAGTAAGTGCTTGTAACTGGGATTACAGCCCTACTAATTGGGGAAACCCCTATAAGTCCAGGTAGGTGGATTATAAGTAGGGTGGGGTTTCAACATGGTTCCTAAGCCATCCTTTGAAGGGATTCCCACAGTTGATCCCCAATTGGGTTGAGGGTTTGGGGTTTAAATCCTGACTAAGTGTCTTGTACCTTCGAAACTGGGAAGCAGGGTATCATAGTATACTGAGGTCATGCAGATTTTGGGTACAACCCCGAAGCCCTAGACCCTGAACCCGAAATCCTAACCCTAACCCTTGGGCATCCGTAGTAGAACAGCCCTTGATTCCGGGCATCCTCTTTTGAGAGATCCCCATATGCACAGTTTTTGATGACTACTGCCGAAAAGGAAGGATGGCTTAGGGTTTAGGAATTCTTTTGGGATCATGGTGAGCTTATGTTTCTGTCTCCCAGTGTTTTGCTGGTCCGCGTAAATCCTAAATCCTAACCCTAAGGGGGGGACTTCATTGTATTCGGGGCTTACCGGAAGGCGGTATCTTTGAGAAGTGCCCGCTTGTCTTGCTCACCGCAAGTGAAGTTGGGAATCGCATCACTTTGTGGTCGCATCTTGTTTCTATTTTCGTGCTGTTTATATTGTTGAAAGAATGAAATAAGAGAGGAACACCTGGGTTGCACAAAATGCGATGTGCCTGCAATCATCTTCAGCACCAAGGGCTTTGGGGCCGTGCTCTGGCCGAGCAAAGCCTAGAACTTAAAGTTCAAGCGTGTAGGCAGTGGTTCTCTGGATCAAAATCGCCTACCATGTGTGACCCGCTGGCACAGAGCCATCATGGTTCCATTTGTTGGGTGCAAGGGCCATAGTCTGGGTGAACTTTTAGGCAACAGTCCAGCAGTAACCAGTCCGTCAGCCTCATTACTATTAATATTTATTATAACTGCTATAACTATTTTACTATTATTGCTATTACTACTA